GTAGTGCAAATATACAGAAAAAGTACAGGCTATAGCATTAAAGCAAACATTGCCAGAAGCAGGATCGAGTGTAGGCTGACTTAAACATTATTACTATGTCAACAAGTCAAACTAAATCTAAAACACTGATTTATAAATATCTTCTGGTGATTAATGATGATGATATTTGCAAGTTTATTAAGTTTTATTGTTCCTAATTTGCCTAACTTTGTACATCTGAAGCAATTAAGAGTGACATTGCCGTGCTACACCACAGGAATCAATTTGATCATTACACAGTCAAAATGAAATTGTATCCAATTCGGGACATTAAACTGTGACTATTTTCATTTAGCTAAATGTAATCGAATGAGCAGGCATGGTGTGAACATAAATCACCACGAACACTCACACTCTATATACCAAATATGTTGAACCACAGTGTGGCCATAATGATGTTTCAGTTTCCTAGCAACGGAACATGTTCAACACTATTCTTCTGTCTTTGTTTTTTTTCCCTAATGGGAGCTGATGACTGCAGGACAAGCAGTGCACCAGCCTCTGATTAAAATCAGACACTACATGGCACTTCAGGTGGGGGGGGGGCTAAAACATATATGTTATGTGTTTCTGATTAAAAATACACCCTATATGAAGTTTGTCTCCATCACCACCACCGCTCCTCTGACAGCCCATTGCCACAATAGGGAATGACTTGCTGCACAAACCAGTAAAACAGCAGAGCAGAGCGTAAGATGGGCAATCTGACCTTTTAATCCTGCGTCCTCTACTGTGGGTTTTCTTTTTGCTGTCTTTAGTTTGTTGCCGTTTCAAGGAGGACATGTAAGAATAAAAGGCCTTAAATGAAAGGATTCTCACTGTGTTGTAAAACACAGCAGATGTTCACATGTATTTCTCTTATGAACTCACTCTTGTCCAATCACATGCTATATCTGACTTAAAGTGAGACTTTTTGGCAACATTTCACATAGTAGTGCAGTCATAGTACAGTTCACGGACTAGTTTTGGGTAATACATGTATTTGCTTGATTGCTTAGCATTAGATGAGAAGACTAATATCACTCTTATGTCTAGATGGTAAATAAATGTATTACCCCTCTCATACGCCCTTATTCATTTGTTACATATACTATCAAGAAAGAATGTAAAGTGCCACTGGCATTCACAACAAATTAAAACAGCCCAACAACTTCACTTGATTATATAAAAATTTCAAAAAAGTACTGAAACATTTACAGATGTGAATAACTTTGTGTGAGTCCTCTAAGTCACCACCATGTCCTCTCATGGCAATCCAACAAATTGCTCCATTTCCTGATTTCCATGGCAACCTCAATTTCCATCACAGTGTGATTTTGGATAGGAGACTCAGTTTCACTCTGTCTGCCATCTGTCTCTCCAATATGGAGATTTATTTTGAGCTTTTTTTTACCAAAGGAAAAAAAAACCTGCCCTTTAGGTGGAAGTAGAAGAGGAAAAGGTTGGCAGAGCACCAAACAGATTCCTTCCACTAGTTTATGTAAATTATTCATGCTCTTGATGCATTATGCATCCAGAACGAGACGCACGCAAATCACGAGGTACTGTTTCATGTATTGTCTCCATGTAGGTAGTAATTTGGCAAAGCCATAGTCATACTGGGTTCTGTCTTGCACCCATTCACATGCTATTCTGGGCACACAGCCTGACTGAGGCTTCATCTGAATACAGAGATAAACCTGTGATTTTACGCTTATATGGTTTGGCAAAATTATACAGTAGATGCGTCCCTTATGTAACACTGAAGGTCATTTAAAAACTTTGGCTGCAGTTTGTAGCTACAGTAGTACTGCACCATGTAAAGAAATCGGAGAAATATCTCAACCTGTCTTTTCAGTTTTGGTTTTTGTTCTGCCTTCCAGAGGACACATATAAAGCAAACAATTATCTTCACACATTCACAATTGATTTATTTAATAAATTGCTTCCCTTGTAGAGACTATACCTGGACCAGTGCCCTTCAGATAATCCTTGCCTCTGCTGGAGAGAAATGAAATAATGCACTTGTTGTTTCAGGTAATATAACAACTGAGGACAAGCTGGCCCACTCTACCATATGCCTTAAAGCAGTGACCTCACAGAGTTTTGTGCATCCAAATCCATCACATACAGCATTGCAGAGTGGGACTAAGTCAGTTCTTCATTGTCAGTGTTTGCACTCTTTGACTCACAGATGTTAATACACATTCAGAAAAAAAAACCAACTCTGTGACGACTCAAGGTCTGTCCACCTGTGAAAAGAACAAGAGGACAATCTTCCAGAAAATCATAAGCCTTTATGCACTTTGTAAGGCTGTAAGTCTGCAATCCTACAGACTTTGCTTGAGAAAATAAAACATATGACATTAAAACTGGGTATGACACACTAGATCTCAACAGAGGATGCCATTACTGCCGTTCTCCATCCAGCCCTCATCCACCTAGATTCAAAGAACTCTTACATGCGAATGCTGTTCCTAAACTTCAGTTCAGCATTCAACACAATCATTCCCCAGCAGCTTACACAAAAACCTGGACACCTGGGACTCAAAACCTATCTCTGCAACTGGGTGTTGGGTTTACTAACAGGGAGGCCACAAAATGTGCGGGTCGGCAGCAACATCTCTAAGACCATCACACTGAGCACAGGGGCTCCGCAGGGGTGTGTGCTCAGCCCATTGCTCTTCACACTGCTGACCCACGACTGTGTACCAACCTACAGCACCAACCACATTGTCAAGTTTGAGGATGACACGACTGTAGTTGGCCTCATTACCAACAATGATGAGGCCAACTACAGGAGTGAGGTGTGCTAACTGGTCCAGCGGTGTAAGGACAACAACCTCTTTCTCAGTGTGGGGAATGCCATGATCCTGCCTCATCAGCTTCCGGTCCTGCTTTTATTCTGACACCACTTCCTGTCCCCAGCTCACCCTAACTCCCGATAACTTCATCTAATCGTGCACATTGGTTTCACCTGCCCCTTAATTACCAACACCTGCTCACCACAGTATATAGCAGCTCCTCACCCTGTGGGGAGCTGCCAGATTGTTCTATGCCCTGTCTAGACTCTCCAGCATTATTTTCTAGTGACTGCTATCCTGATACCGAACTCCTGCCTGCTCTACCGACCTGTGATCCAGCCTCCTCCCTCTTGCTCTGCTGCCCTGCTGGAGATTTCAACCACAGACTGAACTAAGGACTGCTCTCTGCCTGATCCCTCAAGACTGTGTCTGTTCACGTCTAACTTACAGAAAGACATTAAAACCTGTTCTGCTGCCTCATCTTTCTGGCTTTTTAATTGGGTTCACACCTCCACCTTCACAGGAGCTTTGCACACAGTGAAGACTAAAGAAATCATTGTGGACTTCAGGAGAAAACCTCTAAAACATCCCCCACTGACCATTGATGGTGCTGTAGTAGAAAGAGGGAGCAGCACCAGGTTCCTGGGGGTGCGCATCTCTGAAGACCTCCCCTGGACCATCAACACCACATCACTGGCCAAGAAACCTCAAACAAGCCTCTACTTCCTCCGCAAACTGAGGAGAGCCAGCGTCCCACCCCCCATCATGTGCTCCTTCTACCGGGGCACCACTGAGAGAGTCATCACTGGCTGCATCACTGTGTGGTACGGAGGCTATACTGCCTCCTGCAGAAGGACTCTGCAACGCATAGTGAAAACAGCCAGCAAGATCATCGGCCCCCCTCTGCCTTCCCTTACGGACATCTTCAACACCCGCCTCACCCGCAGAACTATCAGCATTGCTGATGACACCTCCCACCCCGCACACTCCCACTTCAGACTCCTGCCTTCAGGAAGAAGGTATCAAAGTCTTCAGTCCCACTCCAGCAGACTTACAAACAGCTTCATCCACCAGGCTGTGAGGATGCTGAACGCTGTCCATTACCTCCCTCCCTCTGCCCCTGGACCATACCCCACCACAGAACATAAAAAGACATAAAAAGACTGCTCCTGCTGTTTGCACAAACACAATACATTCCCCCTTTCTGTCATGTCATATGTGAATCTGCTGCTGACTGTTTTTTAACATCATATCTGCTGCTGTTGGACATTTGCACTGCTGTCCATGCACATTTCATAAGCTATTATGCATCTCATCACCAACGCCCCTGGTGATGCTGACCACCTGACAATCTTCTTGTTTTATTTGCACTACTGTCACTGTTTGCACATGGCTTTGACTTTCTTCATTGCCTATTAGGTTGTTAGTTTATCCTTATTACTTGAATTCAGTTTTCATTTTCTATTTATTCTGTGTTTATTCTACTTTCATTCTGTTTTAGTTTCTTAAATGGTATGGGCATTCAACATTAGGTGAGAGAGAAACAGTATTTCGCTTTTTCTGTATGTTCTGCACATACAGTGAATTGACAATAAAAATCTTTGATCTTTGATATTAATTGTGTGGATGCTGAGTCAGCAACCAGAGGTTATTTTTATTGTGATTATGGACATTATTATTTCAAAGTGCTATTAGTTTTTATTTCATAATGCCTTTTTATGTCCTGTTACTACAGTAGCCTAGGTGGTGGGACATTATGTTCATGCTGCTGTCTGTGACTCTGCAATATACATGCTCTTGAACACAAAGAGTCTTGAACAGTTCAAAGTAGAAACTCTATACTTATAGAGTAGATGGTCTGATAGGAATTTGCATAAATGTGCATTTTAATGACGCAAAAACTGCATGTTAACCTAACACATTCAAATTATTACCAAATAGATACCATTATGCAAAAAAGTATGTATGTTGGTAGGAAAATAATACAGATAGAAAGCAATTGTGGTACAACTCACATTACCAGTAGGAATCCTGACTATTGACATATCCACCGATCAGGCATAACATTATGACCACTGACAGGTGAAGTGAATAACACTGATGAGCCTGTTACAGCCACCTGTCAGTGGGTGGGGTATATAAGGCAGCAAGCCAATAACATCTAAGGAAGGACAGATGGAGAATTGAGGACAGGGTCATGGATGCCCACGGCTCACTGGTGCTGAGGTTGACGTACTGTAGAGCTTTTACAGATCTTTACGACCTGAGTACATCAACTCGGAACTTGGGAGGCACATGGCCCAGTGAAGAAGACAATCCAAAGCATTGTGGGCTCACACTAGAAACGTCCAGATGGTGAGTAAAGTAAATTGTTCAGACTATTGTGAAATGTTACATTAAGTTCTTATTACTGTGGCTAGCTTCTTAAAGTGAAATGCAACATTCCTTCAGTTTAGTATTTCTTAAATGTGGAAACAAGAGTGGTGCTTTACAACTGCAGAGTAGTTTATATTACTGTTCAAATTTGCATGGCCAGTTATATAAATTGAGGGTAAACAAAAGTGAATGTTCCTTATGGGCTTGATGGCGATGAACCCAGCAGAGGGACGACATCAGCAGTATGGCCTTCTCTTCGAACTTCCCACCAGTAATTCAGAGATGGCCATTATTTCAACATGTGGTGAGATGACCTTTTGTATTTCAAGTTTTTTTGGGGGGGTTTCCCCTGATTTTCCCTAAATGTTGACTAGAAACTTTGCTGTGTGTGTGTGTGTGTATGTGTGTATATATAAAAAATTGGAAGTGCTGGTTTATTTGGCATGTCATTCACCATGCAAGCCCCCACTTTTTAAAAAACATTAAATGAAAGAAATTATACCCTGTATAGTCTGGCTGCTAAATTAACCTACTTCCTAGTTCTGCATATGAAGAAGGGGTGATTATCACTTGTCTTTCACAGACTTGTATTCAGCTGCAAGAAGAAAATGATTAACTACTGTATACTATCCATCAAAACACCCATGATTAGAACTGTTTGCAGTTCAATGCGTCACTGTCTTGTCAGCATATCGATCATTTAATTGGTCTCCTTCATCAGCATGTAAGTGAGACGCATTCACTGGTGCACAGTCACTGAGTTGCATTATAAATCCTGCAGGCAATCTCAACAGACAACTAGTAAAATGATCACAAGGCTGCATTGCTGTGAATAAGGATGTAACATAACTTTTTTTTTTTACCAGAAGCTTTTTTTGCTTTGTTGCGTGTTAAGCAGTTACATGACCATAACTTCACTAATGTCATGTTTTTCATAATGCTTTATGTGAGAGTTTTTATATTGACTTTTAAATACTAAGTGGGAAGTGCTCAAGCTAACACCCTCGGGTATATTTCCATGAAGTTCTTAGTTCAACAATAACACTTGTATTACATATAAAAATCTATGATTGTGATTGTACAGTATCTACTTTTAACGCAATTTAAATTGACTTGAAAGGAGTAATTTTTCAACTACAGGGCCAGATAAGATCAAATGTATTCAGTTTTATTTATCATAGGACAGGGGTTATCCAGATCTGAGCCAAAACAATTTCTGAGTAGGAAGTGACCATCAGTAGTCACTGATTAACAGTTACACATGAATGAAAAAGTTAACATTAAAATAGATTACATTAATTCAGTGCAGTACTTGAAATGGACTATTGTTGGTGCTATTGTTCTACATAATAGCATTTCAGTAGGTGCAAGGCCAAATTAATTATGACATCAGTGATGACAGACTAACACCTCCCAGTATAAGGAACTACAGTTAAACAGCACTGCAAATTACCACCTACAAAATAAACACAAAGGCAACTCAAGAATTTGGGGTGAAACCCACTGTGCATTGTGCAAGGAGCTTCCTTGTCTTGATGTCAGTGGCCTCTATCTCCTCCTTTGGCCATCTTATTATGCCAGCGGGTTACCTGATGACTGGCAGGGCATAGGTGTTAATTGCCCAGACTTTGTTCTTTCCACTCAGCTGACTTCTCAGGACTTGGTAGTTGCTGCTTTCCTTACAGCCTCTTCATGGTTTCCATTTGCCTGCGGGATGCCAAGGTACCTGTAGCTGCCCTCAATATCTGCTATGTTGCCTTCTGGTAGTACAGTCCCCTCAGTTCTGACTACCTTCCCTCTCCTTGTTACCATTCAACCACACTTATCCAGTCCAAATGACATTCCGATGTCCTGGCTATAGATCCTAGTGGTGTGGATCAGTGAGTCAGTGTCTCATTCACTCCTGTCATACTGCTTGATATCCATGTAGAGGAGGTGGCTGATGGTTGCTCCATTC